GTGTCCCGGGGCAGCTGGTAGTGCCGGTGCCCCGCGCTGGTCCCGGGCACCGACACGCGGCCGTGCGGGCACGCGGCATCTCGCTCCGCACCGCTCCGTGTCCGGGGTGACTTCCCTTTGCGACCACTTTTTTTTATCCCCCCTCCTTTTTAAATAAAAATCCCTCATCGATCTCTTAAAAGGCTTTTTTTTTATGCTTCTCGCCTGCCAGGGCCGAGCTTTACGATGGCTGGGAAGAAAAGAAATCCATTACACCATCTGAATCCGCGTTTGGAGAGAGATAGATGCACGCAATCGTAATCTAATTTATTTAAATGGGCCTGACGGGGGTTTCGGATTGAATCCGTTTTGGTTTATTTATTTCTTTTATTCATCCATTCATGTGTTTTGCCGGGATCTGCGCGCGAAGCAATAATAATAATAATTAATAATAATAATATTAATAATAATAATAATAATAATGATAATAATAATAATAATAATAATACTTCAGGCTCTACACTCAAACTAAATATATCCACCAACAGAATCTTCTTGCTTAGATATAAAGTTATAGATCATTATATCCGAAGTTCCCCCCTGTTTCTATAGTATAACCTACTTGGTTACACTACTTGATATATTACACTATTTGCTCATGGATATATTCTATATATCTATAGAGCTATATAGATCTATATAGACACATATATAATTACATATAGATCTAGATAGATATCTATAGATAGATATATAGCTCTATAGATATGTATCTATAGACGTACATACACACATATACAAATATATACACACATTTATTTATATATATATATACACACACATATACACACACATATATACATAGATGCAACTGATTACTGTATCGTATAATAAAAGTTAATATATGTATGTATGTGTATATACATATATATGTACACACACGCATATGTATGTGTATATAAGTATACATGTAAGTATGCATGTTTATATATGTATACATGTTTATATGTTCATATACGTATACATCTAGTTATAGATATATAGTTATAGATATAGATAGATTTAGCTATGTATAGATGTGTGTGTGTACACGTGTGTGTGTATTCCACATCTACATGCAATACCACTATTACTGTAAGCAACAGACCCATGCCTGAAGGATTGCTGTCATAGAAATCTATCCGGTAGCTTTCTCCCCTCTGGGTAGAGACAAAGGAACCGTAATTACTCTGTATGGAAACAGTTCCTATTTTTTAACGCATCTCCGCTGAGTTCTCTCTCAATTAATGCGATACACGCGAATATATTCTCATTAAACCAATAATTCTGAGATTAACTTATGCTTCTTATTTCCCCAGGATTTTTCTAATTATATTTCCAGCGCCTCAGCCAGCGATATTTCTCCGCTTTTTACAGCGCATTTTATACATTCATTTAATTATTTTTTACGAAAAGATGATCTACAAGCCGCAGTAGGCATGGCTGCCCAATATATTTTTTTGTTACTCTTTTATTAACCTGGCTGGTTAATACTAATTTTAAACAGTAAGTAGTAAATCACCAACTAGATGTTTGGGCAATTTTATTTATTATCAGAAATCACATAATAATACATTAATTTTTTTATTATTATTATTGTGAAGCCACTTTTTACATGACTATATAAAGCCAGAACGTGCTATGACAGACATTTGCATCGGGTCTACATATAATAGCTTGAGGTAAGAAACATTACATATGAACTATATTGCAAACGATGCATTTTAACAACTGCAATAAACTAGACTAGCGATACAAGCCGAAAGAACGGTACCACATTCACAGGGAACTAACACAGGACAAACGGATGTCTCGAGGACTAATATCTTAAAGCAATCGGGAAGAGAATATTGCATATATTTTCGGGTTGACTTGATTAGCACGTGATTGAAAAGGAAGGAGAAAGAACAAACAAACCAAACTAATTAGTGGGGGGCCACGAGAACTGGCTTTGCAATTCTCTATGCTTCGCTGCTGGTGGGTAGGTATCCAATGCATTTCAGGGCATAGCCCGTCTTCTCCAGACGGAGATTTCTCTCGGAAGATCAAGAACAACAAAAGGGCACCTTTCTTTCCCTAAATCAACGGGATTTTAATCCAACACGGCATTAGGCTATTTCATGCGATCCTCTACTTTCCCTCCAATAGAATAAAAAAGAAGGGGGGGAAAAAGCCACCTTTCTCCCAGCCCGTGGTCACAGGTTTGCCAAGGGGGTCTTGGAGAGGGACAGGGGAGCGAATGGATCAAGTCAAGGATGGATCATTTTGCTAGGGAATCAAGCTCAACGGCTGCCTAAAAATCACTCAGCCTCCCTCTGTTTGCACCAAGAGACCCCCTGTCTGCAACCGCCCACACCAGCTACAGGGGTGCGGGTCTTTGTAAGAGGCAGTAGTGGGTGAAAGGAAGAAGGGACCCTGGACAATGAGGGTTTGCAAAAGGGGGGATTCTCCCGTTATTCGCCGGGGGAGAAAAAAAGGTAGAATTCTCCATCCCTCCCTCTTTTCATTGCACATAGTTCAGGGGGGGGGGGATATACACACGTCGTTTCATGTATTTATTGCACAGTATTGCAAGAAGCGAAGCCCCCCCCGGGAAGTCTGGGGTGGGTAAGGGTAAGGGGGGGGGGTAGAGCTGGGGACTGGAAAGGGAGGTCTTTTGTGTGCAAGAGGAAAGGGGTGAGGATGGAGGGGGGGTGTTTTTCCTGGAAGGGAACTGGAAGGTGTAGGAACTGGGGGGGATTATCGGATCTCCTGGATGCTCTTGACAGGCACGGGAAGCAGGGCTGAGGAGGGAAAAAGGCAGCTTTCAAGCCAGGGAGGCATTTTTAAGGACTCCACTACCGCCTTTGCAGCTCATAAATAAAGGCCCTTCTTTGCCACCGCTGCTCGGTCATGACCATGAACGCGGAGAAGGGGGAGCACGTGATGGATAATGCCGGCTGCCCAGAAAACGTTGCTTTGCCATAAAATTAATCCCTCTGATATAAAACGAATGAAGCAAAGCTTGTCGTGGCAAAACTCAAAGCTCCCGTTCACCCCCCCCCCCTTTTATCCTACCCCTAAGCAGATACACCCTTCCCCCGAGCACCACCACCTTCACCCCGCAGCTAGAAACCAGCTACAATTGCTAGGAGGGCAGTGAGGGAGGACAGATTGGTGCTGAGAGCTGCAAGCTGTAATGAACCCATCTGATGGGGGCCCTACAGAAAATAGCACACGGACCAAAGAAACGTGGGAGATTAAGGCCTGCTAACCTGCTCGAAAGAGCAGCCGTACAATAGACCCAAGGGGGAGGAGGACAAGAGAGGTATGACTGGCGTGTGTATGGGTGCGTGTGTGTGTACCGGGAAAGTCATTATGTGTCCCCACGTTTTATTTAATTGAAAAAAAAAAATCGACCTTATCCATCTTCCTAGAAGCCGCCTTGGAAAATCTGCGGCTGATAGAGAAAAAAAAACCCAACACAAAACTCTGGACTTGCGGTTCTTAGGCAAGGACAAGGCGGGGAAAAATAAAGACCACCCATTGATTTTTCTGTCTAATTGACTAAGAATAATTTCTTAAAAAAAAAATAAATCAAAACCCGTGCCTTCATTTCTCCACCAAGCAAGGAAGCCAATGTCTAGAGATACCTCTAGGAAGAAAAGAGATCGTTAGCTGAAGGGGCTCCACCAAGCAAATGGGATAAAAGGGGCGATTTTTTTCCCCCAATTTTGTCATCAATGAGCACATCAATACAGCATAAATACGTCTGCAGCGGAGTTGTTAAAAAAGCGAAGGGAAGGGAAGGGAAGGGAAGGGAAGGATGTTGGGGGGGGGGACCCGACCTGGCTTTAGCTAGCAGACAGGAAGAAGACGATTTGGGACAGTGCAGAAAACACACTGGGTGACAATTTTTCAGAGGCGACCTCTGAAAGGCTCAGTTTCAAAAGGAGGTACATTCCGTTTTGCCTCGCAGGATTTTCCGTGGCGTGGGTGTGTGCGTGCGTGTGCGAGCGGGGGAAGAGGATGCGTGTGATCCTTCTTGCACCATCACACTTGCTTGGAGGAAAGACCCAGTCAGAAGCACCATGGACCCCAGCTATTTTCCTAGCCCGGGGACAACCAGCTCTAGGCTGCTACCTAGACACTGTAGTCTGTCCTTTCCCTCCCTCGCTGAATCACCCCCCTGGCTCCCGTCTATATCGAAAAATAAGCCCGGGGAACATGTCCGAGCCGGTCCCCGTTCTCCAGGAGACCGGTCCTACGGTTGATTTCACATGAACGCCACAGCTACTCAGTTTGGTCCCGGAGAAAGAAAGCCCGACCCTAAAAAACTCAGTTCTAAGATAGGACGGGGACCTTGATTTCAAGATTGCTCTTTGCTGTGGTCTGGGGTCACCTCACCAACAACAAAGCCAAGCAGTCAATAGGAGAAAGGGGGGAAAATACAGCACACAACCCAACGGACCCTATTGCTTGGAAAGATCTCATACCTTGACTCAACCTCACACTCAGATTATAGTCAACGCTGCTGAGACTCTTTTGAACCATAGGAACCCAAGGTGGTTGATGGAAAAGCTGCCTTTTTTTTTCTTTTTCTTTTTCTTTTTCTTTTTCTTTGCGGATTCACATTGGCTGTTTTCCCAACAGTTCCAGTGTCGGAGATGCATTTTCTCAGCTTCTCTCTGCTCGCTGTTGGGCTTTTTTTTTTTATTCTTATCTTTTTTTCTCAAAGAAAACTGATTTTCTTTCTTTCTTTCTAATTTTTTTTTAAGGAAAAAAAGAAAATGAGGAGCGGTCAGGTCAAGTGCCGGGACCATCAGCTTAGAGTAGACGCTAGAGTGTCAATGTGGTGGCCCAACACGGACTCTGCTTGAACTTTAAAAGAAAGAAAGAGCTTGCTCTCTTAGAAGGAGTCTTTTCTTTTTCATGCGTCGGTTCTGAAACCAGATCTTCACCTGCTGGTCACTCAGGTTTAATCGGTCTGAGAGCTCTCTCCT